TGTAGTGATCGCTTGAGCGCCGCCGAGAGCGATAGTGGTGTTTTCGAGGCGCGTCACGCGAGGTCGTACCAGGTTCAAAGCAGTACTTGCAGACACCAATGGTTTCAGTATAATCCTCGTACATACCAACACCATCTGGGTCGCGCCAGAAATCAATGAATTTGCTCAGTGGGCCCCGTTGACGGTGTTGAAAAGCTAATCCCCCGGCGGCGAGGGGCGCCCCGTGGTAGACCGCAGCATGGTGCGGGTGAGAAGGATGCGCAGCGTATCCTGCAGCGGCTGCTGCTCCAGCAGCAGCATAGGGCGGGGCGTTTGAATGCGGAGGGTACATAGCTGGGCCGGTATACCCCATTCCATTTAGCGAGACATCATCGGGGTTCTGCATGGTGTATTGCGAGACGTGATCTGGGCTGGAAGACGAGTGCTGGTGTCCGAGGAAATAGCCTGCGGCAGCACCAGCCGCCGCCGCACCCACTGCGGCACCCGTTCCGTGGGAGTGTGATGGCTTGTATGGAGGGTTCTGCGGAGTGGGCGCAGCAGCAGGGACATATGTTGATGGCGATGCCCCAACCGGTACATGTGGCGAACCAAATTCTTCGGCTCCTGGTGAACCATGACCGGTTTGGTACGCAGCAGCCACACCCCCAGCTGGTCCCGCAAGTCCGGCGGTTTGAATCGTTGGGTTCGGGGGCATGGTGGAGGCAGGGTTGCCTGGCTGAGGGGCCTGGGTTCCGGGTTCATCATCGTAGTACGCTGCAGCAGCCCCCACCTGTCCCATACTACTGGGTTCTGGCGGAGGGTTGTCGACCGGCGAGGCCGACATGAGATGCGCTTGACTGTTTGGAATAACCAGAGGAGGCTGCGGTCGAACACCGGGCTGCTCTGCGACCGACTGACCCTGGTCACCGTAGTAATCGGCCGCTTCCCCAGCCGGGTTGGGTGGGCGATACGGTTCGGCCACGTAGGCAGGGAACTGACCGGGGAACTGTTGCTGCACATGGGGATCATACACAGTGGGCGTTGTCTCAGGACCCGGCATGGTGGTGGTCATGCCAGGGAATTGGTGATTCGGGGTCGCCATGACGTCGGCAGCGAACGACACGGCAGGCGCAGGGCCCGGCATCGCTGGGTATGGATCGCCCGAGTGTGTCCGTCGTCGCTCCGGGCGACTGGAGGTACCGTTATGATCGCGATCATCTGCGTCACCAGATGGATCGTCGCGAACAGGCCTGGTACGTTCACGTTCTCGACTGGGCGACCGGATTCGCTCACGCCTGCGGGAGCCCTTCCCATTCCGATCGGCTGTGTCGCGATATCGGTCACTGCGATCGGGGTCGTCGATATCTGGGCGTCGAGGGGTGCGTTCGATGATGCGGTCCGACTCGATGGGGAAGCCGGGGTCGGCGGTCGCATAACTCGAAGCGACGGAGTCGCCGGCTGCACTGGATGCATAGCGCTTGCTGCGACTGCCAGAGGAGGGGTATGCGGACAGATCGCCCAAGCCACGGTCCCGGTCGTCACCCCGGAAGGACTTGCGGCTGACTGTGGAGGAGGCCTTCGAGTCGGCTCTGCGACGGGAGGAGGATTTGGCGCTCGAATTGCTGCGGGCATCCGAGGACGAACGGCCCCCGCCCATGAGGGCCTTGAACATGGTGGGCAGATGCGATTAGAGCGATGCCCGGGGAGGTAGGAATGACATGTGGAGGGAGGGAGGGGGAAAAGGATGGATTGATGAGATGGAATGGGGGAAGAGGAGATATGACGGGGAGATGTAAACAATAATAAATAAAAGGCAAGAAGGTGTCGATGTGTGGAGAGCTGAACCGTGGTTCTTGCTTGAGTCGGTCGGGAATCGGAGGGGGCCCCAGCGGTGTTAGTGTTAGTGGCCCTGGTTGCTCCAGACAATCGGCCACTAGGGCGATCTAGCGCGGATACGAGCGGTCAGATCAGTGAGATCAGTGAGATCAGTGAGATAGGTGGACGGGAGGGATCGATGGGGAGAGATTTGATTAAGGTCAAGAATGCGGGCAGATGCATGAAAGAGAATGGATTCGATGCGAGGAATGGAAGAAGGGTGGGCGAGATGGAGGACACAGTGGATAGTAGTTAGTTCGATGAAGGAGGCGAAGAATGCAAGTCGGAGAGAAAAACAGCCGGAAAATCGCGGTGAGGCTGGAGGTGCACGTGCCGCCCGGCGATCGAATCAAAACAAAACAAAACAAAGAGGCTGGTAGTTGTACCCAAGGTAAGTAGAGGTACCTAGGTATATCTACAGAGTAGGTACTACCGAGTATATAGACAGAGGTATACAGTTGACCTAGATATGGGACACATCCGTTCCATGGTTCACGATATTCACGATATTCTCGATGGATCCATGGTTCATGTCACCCCAACATGACGTGGTGATATCTGACTGATCAACCTCCATACACGTGGAACCATACCTAGATGTCAAACACTTATAGTAGTACTCGGTATTGCACTGCCGAGTCTAAGAAGGCCAGGGTACTTGCGAGAGCTCCTGCAAGCTCCACCTGCAGGTCAATCAATGGATTAACCATCACGACAAAAAGTTTGCTTCAAAAGTAGTACATCAACCATCACAGAACATCCGCGGAAGAGGTATCGAACAAAAGACTACCAAAGCATTCATGCCGCACAATAGAACAATAGAACAACCTAGTAAGAAAGCAGAACACTACTCCTCCACCCGCATCGACCGCTCCAGCTGCAATCGGATCCGATGCTGGAACCAACCCGGGAACCCGCGAAGACATTTGGCCAGCCAGCCCGTCGACCCCGGCACCAGGACGTGGCCACTCTCGCCGGTCAGCACCTGATTGACTATGGCCTCCGCAACCGTCTCCGGATGCAGCAGAGGGTTCATCCAGCTGTCTTCGGGGGTGAGGCGGCTGATGAGCGCGGTGCGGGTGAAGCCCTGGGTGATGAGGACGGAGCGCACGCGGGGGGCGTTGTAGCGCGTCACCAGCTCGGCGGCCAATCCCTCGTGGAAGGCGACGGCGGCGGCCTTGGTGGCCGAGTAATCGACCATGTTGGGGGTGGTGGTGTAGCCGGCCTGGGAGGCGACGGTGACGACCATGCCGTGGTTGCGACGCAGCATGGCGGGCAGAAACTCGCGGGTCAGCCAGTAGTGCGAGAGGGTGTTGACCTCGAACTGGAGGCGGGTTTGGGCCTCGGAGCTGCCGAGGATGGTCATGCCGCTGCACAGGCCGGCGTTGTTGATCAGCACGGTGGGCTCGCCCATGGTGGTGCGGATCTTGGCCGCGGCCTCAGCGATGGCCGCCGGCGAGGTGATATCGCACTCGTGGTAGCGTACCGTCGGTGGCAGCTCATCCTGCGGCGCCTGGATGTCCAGAATGGCCACCTTGATGCCACGGCTACCCAGCAGCGCCGCGACTTGGCGTCCGATGCCGTTGCTCCCGCCCGTCAGCACGACGACCTCCCGGTTCCAGTCGTAGCGGTCGGAGACGCCGTTGTTCAGGGCACGACGGTTCATCGCAGCATTGATGCGCCGGAGCACGGCCAGCGAGGCGAGGACCTTGACGGTCTGCAGAAGTAGGGGGTACTGCTCGGCGACATCTCTGCCCTTGGCTGTGTAGTGGGCGAGGAGGAGCAGAGGGACGGTCTTCCAGGGGCAGAAGATGGTGCGCTGGAGGAATTTGCCGAATACATCAGCAGTGAACCCTGTGCGATTAGCATAGGTCGGTCACATCTCTTCAAAAGGGACTCTACCTTCGCGCGAGAGCCACGGTTTCGACATCTTGCGTGCTGTGTCTCACGATGGAATTACCCTAAGGCCAAACGGGTGAAGTCAACTCTCCTTCGAGCCCCTGGCCATATATACCTAGCCGTACCCACGCTTCAGCCCTCCTCCTCGCGGCGTAAGAGTGATCCACCAGAATGCGGGGAAAGCTGAGCGGCATTCGAACCGCCGACCTCGGCTGGACAAGACCCTATCTCGTGCTCGTGCATAACCACCATGCATCATTACCTTGGATATTCACAACCGTGTATATTCGAGGTCTCACTCTGGTCCAAAAAAAAAAAAATACAGCTATCACATACAAAACACAAAAAGAACAAGAATCCAGGGCAGTCGCCGTGCCTCATTCGGTCCCATGCATTTGTCCGGCAATCAAACATGAACTCCCCCATGATGTACTTTGCTGTATATGGAGATCGCCCTCCGGGACCCGGTGTAAATGCCAAAAAGATACCTCCCTCGCCCAAGCCGACTGGGAACAGAATGCAGTGACGCCAATGCAACTCCAAAAGAAAGCCGCCAATGTCCAAACCGTGTCCGGGACCAGAAAAGCAAAGAAACAAATGATAGATAAATGTCGAGGTATCCAGTGTGATCAATGAAAAAGATGAGATGATAAGTGAAGGATGATCCGTTGGGGGGAGTTTGTACGAAGGATCAATGAGTAGGTACGTATATGACGCCTCTAGGCGAAGAGGCAAGAATCTTAGTCATAATGGGATGTGAAGCTGCCTGCAGGCTCGCCAAAGATCCGCTCGTAGATCTCAGTCAGAATTCGCGCGTCTGCTCGCAGACTGGGGGAGATGTAGCGACTTTGCAACAAGAAATTGATCGTCCGCTTGAGAAGCCGCTCAAGGTCATTTCGGTCGACCAGCTCGGACAAGTTGGACTTGTACGTGGCCGATAAGACGAGCATGTTACCAAATTGTCTGCCATTCAATTAGCGTGACGTGCGTGGACTGGTAGAAAGCAGGATCAACATACGCATGAGCCGTTCCAAAGATGTTGGTCACGATCGGCCGGCCCTCAATGCCATCAAAAGCCTCCGTGCTCATAATCGCCGACTCAATGCATACTTTGCATGCGCGACGCAGTTTCGTTGGTAGCTCACGGTAGGTAGACGGGCCCTGACCTGGGGTCGGATTCGGGGGCGGCGGGTTCCGCGCGGCGCCAGCGTCGCTGGACAAGCGCGCCATGCCGGTGGCACTCTGGCTGTGGGTCATTGACGGGGAGACCTGCTGCGATTTCGAGCCAGACGCCACGGTGCCAACAGCCGAGGCAGTCGGTGTGTCGATCGAAGATGCCCGGGCATTGGGGTTGGCGTTGGCACCTGGTTGTGTCGCGTAGTGGAGTGCGTGATACAGGAGGGGCCGGTGGATGATATAGCGGGCACCATAGTACTTGGCCCGCATACGGGCGACATTGATATCTTTCGATGGGGGATCGCTATCTTTCCACTTCATGATTTCAGGAAGGCTACTCCGCCATAGCTCCAGGTTCATGCTCAGGATCTCCTGCACATTGGACGACCAGCGGGTCTGGCCTTGTTCTGTCGGAGACATTAGTTCAATATCCTTGGCTGGTTTCATCGAGAAGAGACGTACTTTCAACCTTGTACAGATCCGTATGAACACGGTTGAGAACCTTCCGGAGGTGAATCTGTGCGGAGTAGAAGAACATCATCATAGTACTAGGTGCGGAGATTTCGTTTGGAAGACTGAGAGTGAATCGCCCCTTTGGAAGCGCGATGCGCGCTTCAGACCGCGAGATCCCGCTAGCCGGGAGATCCAGTTCGGCCAGAATGTCACTAGATGGGATATTAGCCCTGCTTCGCGATCAGGCCACCTTATAACTTACCTTTCTAACTGGAGACAGGTCCAGTACGCAAAATCATACAGGTCCTTCACAGGACCATCGCGCATTTTCTCATAGCGTTTCCTACACAAGTTAGCCGTCTTCTTAGCACTTAGGTCGCTGGTAAACCATACGTTCGAACTAAGACTTGACAGGCCCGCGCGGCCTGGGCAATCCACCCATGGCTCTGGAAAGGATGAGCTAGTTGGCCAGCATAAAGACCCGCGAGTAATGCGGCCTGGACATGGTGTAGACCATTCGCGCCCTGGAGATTCCCTAGGATACTGGTAGCGTATGCGTAAAAGGCCAATCCGGGAATAACATCGAGGTTTCGCAGGTTCCGATCGTCGGGGTAGGGACGTCCTGCGGTGCTCTTTCGCCCATCTCCCATCCAGGGGGAATTGAAAGAGGGAGGCTTCGAGTGGAAGCTATTGGATTGCGAGGCCATCATCGAGTCCGACCCCGCAGGAGAGAGCATACTGCGCGTCGATGGGCCCGGAATCTGTTCCTTTCGGAAGTCTACCACATGATCCATAATGGGGCCAGGGACCGGTCGGTCCCGGACTTCGCAGATACAGCCCAACGCAAGGACGAGCAAGACGATGGCGTTATCGATCGACTTTTCAATAATATTGGAACTCGCCTCGGCCTTGACAGTGGCTGGGGATCCCATATCGCAACCGGCACCTTGGAGAGCGTCGCACGAACGTTTCCGTTTGGCGCCCCGCGGCATCTCGCCCCCCGCGCCGGGACAGTATGTTGCAATGAACAGTTCGATCTTCCGCTCTAAATCGTTCTGATCGAGGAAAGGATGGAGCTTATGCAAGTTCTCCATATAACTCTTGTGGTAGCGGCGTATTGTACTCGGGGTGGTGGTCACCCGACCGGTATCGTCCAGTCCAATGTCCGCAAGCTTCGACTGCGGCTGGTTAATACCGCCCCATGGCCCGCTGGGGGAGGGGTGATGCATATAAACTTCCTCCACGGCGGCGCTCGGGTTGGTTGATGGGGTGGAAACCACTGGGTCTTCACTCGTTTCGTCACCTTCACCACGTCCGTAGACGCGAATCAGGCCACGCTTTTCTTCCAGTCTCATCACATAATCTTCATCGTACTCTTTCGGCTCGAGGACCTTCTTAATCGAGGGCCATAAAAGCAACTTGTGCGCGGCTGTGGTATGCTCCACGGGAATGGACAACTCGCCGTCCTCTCCGGTGATTAAGGCTTGGCTGTTATTGAGGATTTCGTTGGCGCTCTGCTCTAACATAACAGCTCCGTTTTCGTCCTTGGGCAGTTTGGTGTCTTGAAAGGCCTCGTTGGGATCTTCCTTGAGGATGTGTTGGAGGGTCTGCTTCGGCGGTTCTTTGGGCACGAGGAGGTTCTGCTCGCGCATATAAGCACTGTTGGCCAGCTGGCTTATCTGCAGGCCGTTATCGACCTGAACGTGTTGTAACTGGGATAGTTTCTCTTCCAGGCGATCTTCCAGTTGCTGGATTCGATCTAGGAGTAGTTGCGTGGCTTTCTCTTGTCTATCGGTGGGTTAGCATAACGGACCGGACCATGGAAAACCGGGACAACGGACTTGTGGGGAGGAACTTCTTTGTAGACACAGATCAGGTTGTTCTCTTTACAGTGACTGCATGCGGGTCGTCCTTCGTCACATTTGGCTTTCCTCGCTCGACATTGGTCGCATGCCTGATTCCAAAAAAAAAAAAAAAAGACAAGTCAGTCAATACGGCTGAGGGTTGGATACGACAACATACCTGTTGCGCGCGCGCTGCTTTGCGTTGCTGGCGAATTCCAAAGGCGGGATTATTGTAGTAGGCTGAGTCGTAAGGCGCGGGCGTATGGGAGAGGTGCGGCGGGACCGGGGTCGAATACTGAGCGGGCGGAGCGTCGCCATTGCTGTGCGCCTCTTGGGATGAGAATGGCATGCGGCCGCGATACTCTGGAGGCGCAGAATGAGGCGATGGCTCATGGGTCCCGTTCATGGGGGGGTACGCGGGATGAGACGGATGCGCCTCGGGAGCTGTGTGCGCGGGACCAGGTAAGCTTCCCTGTCGTACGTAGGGGCCGTCGGGCGGCAGCTGGGGGAGTTCTCGGTTCCCCATGACAGGATACCCATGGGAGGGCAAGGGCGGCTGGGGCGCACCGGGGGTACGGCGCTGTTCCGCGGGGTGGCCATCGAAGGGGGGTGGATGATGGCGCCATGGCTGTTCGTACATGGACGGGCCCGTCGGGGGAGGCGGGTGAGATCGGTCGGGGGGAGGGATAGGATGCATGGTGGGTGGAGGGCCCGAAAACGCAGGGAGAGACTTGGGCTTTTCCTCCGTTGCAATGATTTCCATGATCGTAGGTCCGCCGCTACGACCAGGGACAGGTTGCCGCAGATCCACCGACGACAATCGATTGAGTGCGACCGACATATAGTTAAACGGACATGGCGATGTCCGTCAGAAAAAGCAACGTCGGCGAAGGAAAGGGCGCAAAGAGCCGATTGTATCACCCGAGCGTGAAGACTCCCAGGTGACGCCCGTTGAGGGAGTTCGCAGGTGCCTCTGCAGAGGGGCGGCTGAAGCAGCGAGATATCGGCCGTATGATGAATGGGGGCACCCTTTTCTGGGCGAAATCTTATGGAACGCTTCTAGTACCGACAAAGAAAACGTCGCGATTGATGATCGGGGTCACACGCCAACGGCGCGGATTGGGCCTCTAGAGGTGCGTGCCTGACAGGGCAGGGGGCGGTAGCTTTCCAATAGTTAGCGGAATGGGACGATCAGTTGCGGACCACGTCCGAGAGAGTCTAAAAGGAAAACGGATTGTGTTGCGAACGGGTTTGGGGGAGAGGGAGGGTAAATAGAAGCAGTCCCCACCAGTCGGGCGGTGCAGAGGAAGATGAAAGCATGCAAATGCAAAAAAGAACGGGAAACCCAGAAGGATGGTAAGGATGATAATCCGGTGGAGCGGCTAGCTGGGACGGGAGGTTAACGGGGAAGGGGAGAGTGGACTGGTTTCTGGTGCTTGGAAGAGGTACTTTTTTGTTTTGCGCCAGGGGATGATGAGAAGATGATCAAATGGCGATGAGGACCAACAGGGGTGGTGATCATCAGAGCGAAAATAGAATCCACGATTACTCAAAGAGTGAAGCGGAAGAAGAGGTATACGTACTACTCGTACCTCCAAACCCGAACCAGTAAGGTAAATAATAATAATACGACGGAAGGCGTTTGGCAACTCGGCCAAGCTGTCGGGTCCGTTGGTGTGAGGCGAACCGACGAGGCGGAAGATGATCAGGGTTGCAAAGATATTATTCCGTAACAGATCTGGTCTGTCTGGTTCCGTCTGTTGGTGAAGAGTGAGATGAGTTGCAGTCCGGATTGTCTAGGTCGGTCGGCGGAGGGGAAACATCGGAGTATGATGGTGGGAAAGGATGAAGATGGTGGAAGAGAGGACAGATGGGGAGAGAGAAAACACCATCAACGATCCACTATCTAGGTGGATGCACAGACAGCAAACGGAGCTGAAGAGAGGGTGCGAGACAGACCGAGACAGAGGGAGAGGGGAGGGAGAGGAAGAGAGAGAACGAGAGAGAGCGAGAGAGAGAGAGAGAGAGAGAGAGGTGTGATGTGCCCCTCTTTTGGTGGAGAGAAAAGTATAGCAGGACCAGGAGAAGTAAGGATCGCGACTCACATCGGACACTTGCGGAGAAAATGATGAACAGAATCGATCAAGTCAGGTCAAGCCAAGTCAAGTCAATCGTCTTGCGTCTTCTGACAGATGGATTGATGGACGGATGCTAGTTAGGCAATCCTGGATCCTGGTTCGCAGGGACTCTCGCAAGCCACCAGAAATGACAGATCGTTTTTTTCTTTTTTTTTTCCCTCTTTTTTTATTTCTTTTACGTCTGTAAGGATGATAATAATGTTTCGTTGGTTCAGGTGAATACCTCCAGTACCGCCGAGTGGAGCCGCAGTGAATATGACAAAACAGTCGGTATACAGAGTGGGTAGGTAGATCGGAAGCGTCGATGTCGACTGAAGAGAGAACAGAAAATCGACAGAAATTAGAATATAGAGTAACGGTCGGGTTTTCCGAGGGTTTTAGAAGAATGTCGGTGCCCAAGAAAATTCAAATCGAATCTGGAGGGTCAGACCGGCGGTGGATTGGTCAGTAGGGAGGGAGTAGGTAGATACGCAGATACGGGAAGTAGAATCAAGACGGGAGGTCGTGGAGAGGACCATGTTTACATATTGAATGACGACGACGGAGTTTGACTGGAATTACTCGGGCAGAGACCACCAACAGGTGAAACCAAGAATGAACCGCCGAAAATCGTTGTTGTTCTCATCCCTCTCCAGGGCAGGGCGGGATAGATGACCTAACCAGACAGTAGCACGGAACTTTACGACGCACAACACATGCCGTTGTCATACATTAGGTATAGGTATATCTGCTAACGCAAGAAGATATCTAGGTGATAAGAATTGCCTGGATAGTAGAAGGTAGTATACCTACTTCAGTCCATATCTCTCCCAGTATCTCCTCTAGAATAGAAGAGGATCGGAAGAATCAATAATAATATGTAATAAAAAAGAAAAGAAAAGAAACAAGAATGCAGATGTGACCTTGAGAGCTACCTCCAGACACGCCCCACGGCGCAGGGAGGAGAAGACGGTGAGCATGATGGCTGTGACTGGTGCGCATCTGCAGGCGTGGAAAGGCGGAGAACAGCTCAGCCAGCGGACTGAACATGAATGAATGAGCCATGATAAACATGAGACCGAACATGAGAGAAGCGCCACCGTGACACTCCAGATTCCATTCCTCTTCAGCAGCACTGGTCCAGTTCAGGAACCAACTACCGGACACTGCATCCATGGTCGGTCAACTCCCGGTAAGTTACGGGAAGCATTCTGGAACGCCCAACCGTCCCAATTTTCGAGCTTGTGTACAGACAGTATGTAGGGTCCATCTCATACAGGTACAACATCGGACAGGTTCTACCACCTACCAACTATGCGGAGTAGATACCTCATCACAAGTACACTCCTACCGAGTCATCCTGGCTGAACTACCTCGCCGTAGATCCAAATGTATCGACAGGAGAACTCCAACAATCGGGGACTGACTGACTGACTTTCGGGGACTTGGTAGCTCTCCATCCCAAAACTCCGGGATGGCTGGAGTTTTCTCGGTGTCGGCCGAAGGGGACGATCCTCATGGCGTAATGGATCCTCATGACGATTCTCTCCTGCCCAACGGTTCACGCATTCACTCGCCCCATACTCCGTACAGTGGAACTTCAGGGGGCAAAGGTATGTACTGTACTCCGCGGATATTCTGTAAACGAATCTTCAAGTGACCAGTCAGTACATCTCCAACCATGACCCATCCATCCCTCTCAGTCCATCGTCTGTCTCCCTCTCTCCTCGCTCGCAGATCGGCGGCGCTCTCGTCTAGTTTAACTTTGTTTCATCCCGTCCCCCCGGAACCACCGGCGATATGGTACGTACCTAACTAACCTTAGGCTACCTCATTAAATGCGCTGAATAAACAGGACTGTGGGGTCCACTTTCCCTTTCTTCAATCCCCATGCTGCAAGGTCATGAACTCTCCGCTGCCAGAGATGATTTACATACATCCTGCACGCCAGGTATCACGGTGGGATGGTCCAGTGCAGAAAGCAAGGGGGCCCCTGGACGTAGATCATCTGGGGTGGATGTCGGTTCTACCTAGGTCCTCAGTAAGTCAACCAAAGGAGAATGGAGAGCAGATGGTAGTGTAGGTAGGTAGTTAGTTTATTTGTGTTACCATGCCGCTGGTCACCCGAGTACAGTATCGGATGGACCCGAGCAAGGATAGGGAGCTAACTAGCTGTAATAATACATTGGAATCGATTTCAGCAGTAAAGTAAACACAGTGGCAACGGACGCCCCCTTTCGAACCCCATCCAGGGAAGAAATGCCCGCCAATCGCCCGCCGTCCCTGAAACATAGTTGACACTATGTCCCAAATTCTGCGAGCACCAAAGCAGGGAAAACCTATGGGGATGGGAATGTATCCGAACTCCGGATATCTAACTATTGGCGAACACCGTGGCAATCCCATCCGAAGACTCCATCCACCGGCTGGAATGGATATTCGTTATCACGAGCCCCGCGTCCATTCCTGCCGCCCCATGGCGAATCTTCAGTCCGGCGATCGTGTTTGACATTCTCATGTGGTAAGTGGCTTGTCTTCGTCGCCCTCCTTGGAACCCAACTTCTCTGCCGGGTGGAGAGTCTGTCTCAATGGATTGGCAGTGGTGAACCAATAATAATACCTAATGGAGGCTCTTAACCTTCTGTTTCAACGGTCAAGTTATCCTCGTATGATGAATTTGTTCCTCTGGTGGCACCGGCGCTCCCGCCTGGCGCCGACGGAATGGTTCAGGCGGAGCATTTCTTCAGTGTCGGCTGCGCCTAGTCGGAGTATACGGGGTACAGTACGTAGGTTTATTGCTTATTATTAGATAGGCATGCTATTAGCATGGATATTAGAGTATTAGTCTAACGTTCACCTGTCCGCTCATATATATCTTCCACCTCAGTACTACGGCCTGCTGTATTCCCACCGTCAATACACACCCAATCTACGAACTAGCATTCTCCTAGCCTTCAGACAGTCTCAGGATCAATGGAAACAATAAATCCTCCTTGGAAAGATCCATGCAGTCTCTGATTTAGTCCAATTCCGAGCCAATCCCACCGGCCGTTGACGACACGCAGGATCAGATGCTTTACCTATCATCCTTCGCCTACCAACTCACTTACCACCTGGCAAATCTGTAGGTCATATCATACCTGCTGCGACTATCTACCCGTCTCATGTACCATGCGAATCATCTCCCGAAGACCGGGAACGCCGGACAGAGCCGCGCATACTGGCAATTTCTTCCCCCGATATACTAATTGGGTACGGACCAACAACCACCGCCACGTGGAGCCCAGCAATCGGTCGTGGTCACACTGAATAATACCGACATTCATCCGCCGAATAAACCCCTCCGGCCAAACCTTGTGGCACGCTGAACGGACGGGTCCGTTGAACCCCGCGGTCGTACACGGATGAAACTACTCCCTCCATCTCGTCGCTCGTCAAGGCACTGTCCGAGCCCGGGAGTGAGTTTCCCTACGCAAAGTTAATCAGGCCCGATCGATCGGATGTGGGGACCGTCCGCTCGATCGTCCAAAGCCCGTCCTCCGCGTACTCCTATCTGGAGACGATGCGAGGGGCGGATCTGTCAGGAGAGGGAGAAACTGTTTATCTACAGAGTACGCCTTCCAGGTGCACGTCTGTTGGCTTGGGACAGGCTTTGTGGCGTGGTGGTACGGTTTGCCTGCGCTACACACCCCCGTCCGTCGTCTTCTGGGGGTCGACCCAGCGTACGGAGGACTCTCCACGTACGGATTGAGGCTCGTTGCCAGGATGCCGCTGCGCGGTGCGCTGGGCAGCATCCGGTGAAACAATCACCCGCGAGGGGTCAAACATGCATCGTCCACCGCCGCATGTAACACTGGGTCCACGGTCTGCGATGAGGTCCATCGTCTTGGAACCATCGGCTTTCCTCGCGACGATGCAGTGGGCGAAAAGAGGGGGGTGCATGATCTCTAGCCCGATGGGGTTTTCTACTACTGGCGCAGGTCCCCGAGGTGCCCGAAGTCGATGGATCCATCATCACTCTGCACTTGGACGGTTATTCTCCTCCCCCTCGGCGTCCACTTTCAGGGTCCGTCCTGGCCTCTGCAAAAACAGTGAGACATGTAATTTACATGGTGCAGGAACCATGATCGATGCCTGACCGGTTGGGCGAGTGTCTCCTCCAGCGTGGTAATATGAATGGCTGGGAGCCACCAGCGGAGACCGCCACAATTCATGCTCCGAGATCCCCCAGAGTGGAGGCGCGAGGACCGCTCTATCCTAACGCATGAGCTAGGTGTCCTCTCGCTTGGTCGTGGCATTCGTCCCGCGGGCCTGGTTGGCGGGATCGGGAGGCTTCGTGCTGCGATGCTTCAATAATACTTCAGGGCCGCGTGAGCGTGACAGCGGGGGGCGGACAGCCACCACCCTGTCAGTCGAATTCTCCTTGGGGATGCCTCTGGATATCACATCACGGACGGAGCCAATGTCACTGTCAGCCTGCATGGCCGCCAATCTGAAGAGAATACGCGTTGTACCGTGTCGCCACTGGATCTATCACATTTCCACGGGCCTGGAACCTTCGGCGGCTGCTCTACCACCACTGGGCTGATGCTTGAGGGTACTTACCCTGTAAGGATATTATTGATATCATCATGGATATCATGTGTCAGCTGTTTCCTGTCAAGCTCTAGCTAGTTGTGTACCCCGTATGTACGTACGTACGCATGAGTAACCCGTAAGACAGACAGAACGGCTCTGCAAAACATCAAGTAGGCTAGCGAGTCCCTGCCGATGAACCCTGCAGCCATCCCAATCCGGAAATCAGCTCTCCCCGCCCAGGATCCAACTTGGCCCTTCGTCGATTATGTCGAGGCGACCGAAGCGACCGTAGCGACAGAGTCCCAGACAAGCAAGCTACCCGAAGAATCTCGCGATAAACCTATGGACCAAGCGTCCCGCCCACGCACAGTCCGAGGCCCAGCTCGACGATCAGGGGGCCCGGCGCTGACGCAAGGCCACGAACGACGGAGTCCATACGGGCACGGAGTAAGCTCTCTTCTCGGTCTAGGCGGGGGGCTATTCGCGTTGCCTTGATCGCCTCGCGCCGCCTGCGAAATGAGCAGGCTCGTGGGCGGCGCCTCTCCGCTACACATACCTTGAATCTGTTAGCCCCAGGGCTACCGACTGGTTCTGGGACGATACTATAGCCATGGGGTCAGCCTCATATACGTAGCTACATACGTAAGGCACCGGGACCTTATGATTCAGGGGTGAGTAGCAGCCTTCGTTCACCTTTTACTCTTCTGGGTATTCCGGCGGGCAAAAGTACCGCCCGCCTGCCCCCTGATCGGCGGCCATGCGCTTGACTTGGAGCTTTCGTCCTGGGCCGTGCCGGTACGGGTATGGGGAAATATCCGCTGTTAGTTACGGTAGTTCTTACAGGTGGATAACCATAGGTAACCAGTAAGTACTAGATAGCTAACTAGAAGCTACCCCCATAAACGCCCCGTAGGCACATACTACGAGTAATGACATACATAGAATCTCTGCATACAGCACTACCAAATCCCCACGAAAGCTCCCTTCTGATACATCACGCCGGAGAAGAATTCCGATCTCTACCACCCACCCGTCCGCCCGCTCGGAGATGACAACATCCTTCATCATTAGCCGAGGATCGAGCCTCACTCGGCGCCTGCATTCTATTGGCCGCTTGTGTGCTACAATTTCTCGCTACATAGATGGCAGTCTATGTATATACAGCAGCAGCACACACCACCCGCCCTGGCAGACGGGAACGACAAGGCGCGACGCTCAGGCCCATAACATACCTCATACAACATCGCCTCACGCCGATCAACACATACACATACACACGCACACATACATCGCGTCGCGCAGCCGGAGAATTCCAGCCGCATAATTGGCGCGTCGTAGGATGGTGGACATGCCGTGACGTGACTTGACGTTGCGGTGACGCTGCGATGCAGACCATCTGTAGCTGCGGCTGCGCTGCGTGGTGTCAATTCTGTATGAAATTATCTGGGTGCTGTTCGATGTGTGCACTGTATGCACTCTGTACGACGCAGCCAACGGAGACACTCGGCCTTGGTTATGGCTACTAGACGAGTCGATTCGAAGTTGTCAGGTGCAGGGCTGGCACGATGAAAAGGCCGATGAGCCAACCAGGAGTGCGCGATCTTATGCAAGACCGCGTATCGGCGCTGTACACGTATGGTTGGTTGCATATGAGCTTGTGTTGACAATGAGATTGCCGATATTGAGTTGATGCGGAGGGCCAATCCAGGCACAGGCGCATATGACACGGCCAGCGGTGCCCCTTGGGGAGGAGATCGATATAGTGGAGGTATAGTCTGTTTTGATCGAGACCGACCGAATGGACACTAACAGAACAGTATGTACATGACACAGTCTATAAACAGAATCATCGCAGAACCGCAAACAACCCAATGCCAGATTAGGTGCGCCGCAACATGTAATGGAAAATGCTCCAGATCCCCTTAAACACCTCCACGCGATCTTCGCCGTTCAGTAGATCGTACCATCGCGTGCGTCGCAGTCGCAACTCATGCCACGCCTGCTCCGGCGTGTCGGACTCCGGAGGAAAGTCGCTTTGCCCCGTCGTCATGACCTCCAGATATCGGCGATGCACGCGCAGGTGCAGGATGGCGATGTGGTGGTTTATCGAGGACAACATGTAAATCTGTAGCAAGTAGTGAATATCAGCCGACGTCCTCGAGGATCGACTAAACCAGGGAAACACGTACGTCGTCAAACGGACTCGCCGGGTTCTTTCCAATCTGAATATACCGCATACGCCGGTCCCAAAGGCTCGGCCCAGGCTGCACCAGCTTCCATTTTTCCGCGTTTGTCATCTTGCGTGACCCCCGTCGCAATCCCAGCGGCCGGTCGTACTTGGACCGCTTGCGCGCGCCGCCGACGCTCTCCGTCTCCGGCTTCTCATCGCTGTTGATCCCGTTGTTGGTGGTGTCGCCCACCGCATCGTTGGGCGCACCGCCCCAGCGAGGCGACGTCGTCCACCACTTGCCCTCCCCTGGTCGCACCTCGGTCGTGCCCTGGCGCGCGCGCTCCTGCGCCGTCAGGAGCATGCCACCGATCTCGCGGAAGAGATCGCAGGTCTCTCCCATGCCGGTGCCCGGCGTGTCGTCAGGGCCCCGGAACGTGGTCTCCGGGCGACACTGCGCTACAAACACGGGGCCCTCCATCACGCCGCTCCGCGCGAGCTGTCGGTCGCGCGGGGACCGTGCCGCACCAAAGGTCTGACGGACGGGGAAGAGAAGTGTGCGCACGGCGAGTCGTGGCGGAAGCATCGGAAGAGCCACCTGGCATCCGAAGGGCCAGGCAGCCATCTCCGCCAGCGCTCGTACCGTCTCCTCGCGAATGTCCTCCGGCATCTCGTGGCCGGCACCAATGCGCCGGCCCTTGTAGCGCTCCACCAGCTTCGGTTGCGCCTCTTGCGGCGGGGTGTGATTCTCCGGTTCGGGAGGACATATCGCACA